ATTACATTTATACATACTTATGTATGTAAATATGTACATATATTAAATGTAAACTTTAAAAATGAAACACATTATGGTTCAGATACATATACTGACTGAGTACCGGCTATAAAAGCTGTGACGCGTACGAAGCGTCTCACAAACGTTCCTACTCATTACCTTTTTTCGTATTTTACATTTGACATTGTTTCTGAATCTGACATCACTCCTTACGCCAACACGATCTGTTAGCTAACCCCCCTCCCATAGAGCCGCACACTGCACGAAGCAGAGTGTGGAATGAGAGAATGTGCAAAAAATAAAGCTGCAAACTACTGTTTGTGAATTCTTTTGTATATCGTAGCTAGAGGGTTAATCCTTCTCTGGCATGATCAGGAAACATAATACTCTATTAATATTCCTAGCAAGCTTCCTTGCTTTCGGGACTCTCTTTTATTAATTATCAAATAAGGTTATATCCAAAAAGCAGCAATGAACTCACCCGCGTTTCCGTTCTATTAATAAAATTAAAAAAAAAAAATGAAATACATTCAGTGGCTCAATCGCATAATCGGACAGCAATTTCCTCTGTACGAATGTGCTCAAAAATTATATAGAAATGCGTTAAACCAACCGTTTTTCACTTATTATACAACTTTATAGTATTACCTATCCAAATCATAAACAAAAAGTCATACTTTTTAGCGAGAACAGTTAGTTTTAATCGAAAAAAAAAATCATGTTTTAAGAATACGTTATTTGGACGGATGATTGATTGATTCTAATTTTCCATCGAAGGAACCAGTCTTCAATTAGGCTTAGCTCACTCTGCAGGAGTTCGGAAGCTTCATTAATAGATGTGCTTGTGGCTTAAACGACTGTATCATCAGCATATGTTGCAACAGTGCAGTAGTTTGTAACTGGCATGTCGGCCGTATATAGGGTGTAGAGAATTGGTCCCAATACGCTTCCTTGTAGGACGCCTGCGTTGATGAGAAGTAGTGATGAAGTATCGTTTTTCTGCTGCACGTAAAAGCAACTTTTAGCCAGATATGATTTGATTAATAAATAGTACGGAGCAGGTAGCCAGATAAATATATCTTGTACAACAAACCTTTGTGCCAGACTCGATCGAACGCTTGTTGAACAACATTCTTGATGCGGCAGTGCATTGTTTTCAAATGCCGAAACTATATCATTAATAACATTGCTCAGGGGTCCCGTGACCTCTCCTGAATCCGAATTGGTATTCAGGAATGAATATGAAAAATAGAATGAATAGAATGAAAATCGTCCAAAATTGGCAACATTCTTTTCAATAGTATTTTTTCAAACACTTTCGAGAATATTTTAATTTCACTTAAAGAGTCAGACGGCTGTACAAATAATTTATGTGCAAAAAAAAATGACTTTTTTGCTTCAGTTCATTTTTATAAGGATACTATAGAAGATTATTAAAAACTTTTTTCATAAACATATAGTAAATATGTTGATCTTTGGTACAAAATTAACTTTTTCTGTTTACGTTGACCGTAAGCCAAGTTATAGGTGTTCAAACTAGGGTGATTTTGGTATACGAATAATATGTGTGCTTACTGTAACTAAATCATAAATATGGTTGTTTCCAAGAACTGGTAGTGATTTAATCCGAGAATTTTTAATATGTTTGGGTCTCCGTACTTATTGCATACGTCTTCATTTGTAAATTTTTGCCTTTCCACACTCACTGCTGACATCATAAGAATCGCCCCCTGACCAAATTGGGAATATAGAGGCCCGACCAGGTAACTGCCCAAATGTTACACTTAACGGCTCACCAATTCCACAAAGTACCTGTGTGAAGTATCTCAGCTTGCATCTCGACCGCAGATTAACATGGAAAAACCACATTAAAGCAAAATGTCAACAACTGAGACTTAAAACACTAAAAATGTCCTGGTTGATAAGTCGAAAAACAGAAACCACTTTGGAAAACAAAATTCGCCTCTACAAATCCATACTGAAGCCTGTTTGGACCTACGCTATACAGCTCTGGGGGACTGCTAGCAACTCAAATATTGAGATACTTCAGCGTTACCAATCAAAAACTTTGCGACACAATGTCAATGCTCCGTTTTACGTATATAATGCAAATATCCACAAAGATCTTAATATTCCAAACATTGTCGATTTTTGGAACGAACCTCACCTTGTTTTCAAAAAAGTATTTATTTTTCCAAAAATGTCGAAAGATTTCGTAAAAAGTTTTACAAGTATTTATTTTCTATATAGAATTTCAAAGTACATGGCGGGAATGGAATGAAATACGAAGTAAATAGGAAGAATCTTAAATCTTAAGATTTTCAAGGCAAATGGCAATGTATGTACTTGATTTCAACCAATCAAATTAAGAGGGAAAATAATCGATACTGATTTTGTTTGAAAATTTATATTTTATTTTTTTTTCAAATGTCCCTTCAGGAATTTCTCTCGTCTCCGTATGGATTTTTCTCTCTTGCTGGTTATTTATCCCTCGCAAGGAAGGATGTTATCGAATTGAGAAAATTGTGTAAATCTTTGGCTCTAATCAATGAAAAAACAAGTAAATCTGCGTTGGAGAGATATCTTAACAAATTTTGAATAATATAGAAACATTGAGGCATTATTTATTTATTTATTTTTTATTCCAAAGCTTTCAACTAAATCGTTATTTTTGTAAGCAATCCAATAAAAGAGTCAAGAAGAGTAGTCCAATCTTGTGGCGAATGTATTGTACAATTGTACAAAATTGTATTTCCACGGCTGAGAGTGTTAGTTTGATGGCAATATAAAACAGAATATTAAAATCGAGTAAATAGGTTATTGACCAAGACCGATTAACCTTCTGTTGACCAATAAGTGTTTAAGTGCAAACTAACTAAACTAACTTAAAGTTTTTTAACGCAGTTTAGCTGAATGAAACAGTGCCCATTCGAATTAATTCGTAAACAGGGGGGATGGGTGGCTACAATAAACATTTACAAGCAGTTTTATTTCGACAATTTGGACAAAGTGCTTACCTATTTAAAAGGAGGGCGTTCAGGGTGTTAAGTTTGAACAGTCAATCGGAATGGGCCATTAAAAACCAAAACAAAACAAATAATAATTTTATATCTACTGTACAATGGGTGGCACTCGTTGCACTTTTCGAGATTGCAAAGTCTCTTCAAACCGCAATCCGTCGATGCACTTCTTCAAGTTTCCCATACGCGACCCGCCGCAGTTGGAAAAATGGCAACAAATTTGCGCTAATAAAGAGATTTTAAAAGTGTCTCAAAGTAAGCTGGCCAACAGGGCTGTGTGTGCACGCCATTTTCGCATTGAATGCTTTATGAACTATAAAATGGACCGGCTCATTGCTAAGCAGACGCCGACATTGATGAGAGTGAACAAGGATCTCGCGTGGGACTTTGAATCTCTGGACGAGAACGGCGAACCAATGCTTGTTAAATTGGCTTCCCCCACTTCGGCACATCTGAAACCACCAGAGGGGTTCGAGTGTCCTCTGGGATATGATACTGACTCTGCTGGAGACGTGATTAGCTTGGATCAAATGGTAAATAAGCGATCCGCTGCAACTTTACCAGAGAGGGCAGTCAAAAGGCGGATGGTGGATTGTACCAAGGCAAAGGAGCAGGAGCAGTACCAAATCAGTACTAAAATTTCATCAGAAATGATTGACTTGCCTCAAAGTGGATTGCAAACGCAAACAGAGCCAATTTTTAGGAAAATAAGTTCACGTACAACAATTGAGAAACCTTCGATGGGCTCAGGGCAAAGTCAGGAAATGCCTATGGGCGAAGAAGAAACAACACCCGAGGAATGCCAACTTCAGCTGGATTACAACAAACTGAAGTTTGAGGTGGAAAAGCTTTCAGAGGAGAACGCGTACTTGAAGCAACTGACGGCGTCCATGCCATCCGCCAGTGGAGCGACACCATCAAACTCCTCGATAAGGATGACCAAGTCGCAGCTATACAACGGCATAAAAAAGTATCTGGGACCCACTTTGGCCGCTCTGGTGCGGATGGAAATGTTTGGAGGCTCCGAGGGTCGTACCTGGAAAGGTGACGAGCGGCGCTTTGCTGTAGAACTGCTGCAGCTGGGCGAAAGTATCTACGAGCATTGCTGCGAGGAATGGCGTTTTCGACTGCCGTCGCTTAGAACTGCACGCTCCTGGCTTGGTAGCAAAGAATCGGAAGATGTCGATGATTCAATCGATTTGTAGCCTTAATTATCGTTTAATTCATTTACTTTACTTTACTTTAATAATTAAAGTTTAATTCCTAATTTGCGTGATCTATCTACATTCAATTATTTACTAGAGTAGGATGGGTTTGTCCAAATGGCATATGATCGAATCATCTGTGGTCTTCTTCACGCATATCTCTTGGGTAGAGGCATCGCAGAAGTAGTCTGTAGGGCAGCTGCCGGTAACATTTGTAGGTTTGGTGGCACCGAAGCAGAAGGCGAACGTGGAACGGGAGGTGCATGCAAAAGTGTAGTTAGGGGCACACTGGCCACAGCTATCGGTGTCGCCGCAACTGGCAGGAGTCTCGCTGCGCTGGAAGCAAATAATGGGCTGATCTGTGCAGACCAGGCCATCAGTGCATGTGAAGGTCTGTGCGGTATTGGGACTGCTGCCGCCAAAGCAAAGATTGTACGATGTCTGATTTATGCAAGCTGCCCCATTTGACTGGCACACATCACAGGTAGACCAGATCAAAGTTCCCTGCATCGCCACGAGGACCAACTAAATGTTGAGACACAATAAGTCAAGTAATCTCCCTCATTAGGACCACCTGCACCCTGGAAACACTCACCAGAACAGCGCACTTGTACATCTTTTCGTCGTAACTTATCTTTTACGAATGGTCCGCGCTGTCGGAAGACAACGCATTTTTAGCACTTTCGTCAGCTCTGCCGAATATGCTTTATAGCGCCTCGATTCATTTGGGGTCCGGTCCAGAACCTTGAGCGCATATCTCTCTTATCTTTATGTAAGCAAACCACTCCCACTGCTAAGCCAAGACTGCCTCCTATAAAATGAATTTGCAGAAGATCTACCCTCGATCACAAGAAACTAGAGCTTCGCGCTAAACAGACATGCGTGCAAATATTATTTTAAAAGTGGGTAAAGTAAAAGTAAATAGCAAACGTCAATTTCACACATTTCTTTTCCATTTTAGCTCGTTCTGCTCCTCCCGTTTCTCAAAGCGGCCCTCGGTCAATCCCCTAGCTGCTCAAATTGTGCACTCACCAATAGAAGGAATGTGTGCCTCGACGAGACCAGCTATGGATTCTGCTTTAACCAGGAAACGGTCGATGAAAGCACAATCACTGCGTGTCCTGAGGGGTATTTTTGCACACTGGATAACATTTGTTCTCCCCAGGAGACGTCCTCAGTTAGTGTTACGATTTCCTCCATTTGGTTCATTGACAATTTTCCATTGAATTGAATTTGCAGCCTTCTTGTGTACCTGGTGATACGACATCTACAACATCGGATAAAGCAACAGGTTTGCAGATACTCGAAAATCCAATCTTTTATTTATATGACATATATGTATTTTTTTTTGTCAGATTCATCTTACCCTACCACTACAGATTCATCAACAGAATCTTCCACGTTAACTACAGATCCATCCACAGAATCGTCTACTTTAACGACAGATTCATCAACTGAATCTTCCCCTATTACTACAGATTCATCAACTGAATCTTCCACATTAACCACGGATTCATCCACAGAATCGTCCACTTTAACGACAGATTTATTAACCGAATCGTCCACTTTAACGACTGATTCATCAACTGAATCTTCCCCTAAAACAACAGATTCATCAACTGAATCTACAACTGTAACCACAGATACTTCAACAGAATCTTCCACATTAACTACAAATCCATCCACAGAATCGTCCACTGCAACGACAGATTTATCAACCGAATCGTCCACTTTAACGACTGATTCATCAACTGAATCTTCCCCTATTACTACAGATTCATCAACTGAATCTACAACTGTAACCACAGATACTTCAACAGAATCTTCCACATTAACTACAAATCCATCCACAGAATCGTCCACTGTAACGACAGATTTATCAACCGAATCGTCCACTTTAACGACTGATTCATCAACTGAATCTTCCCCTATTACTACAGATTCATCAACTGAATCTTCCCCTATTACTACTGATTCATCAACTGTATCTTCCACTTTAACGACTGATTCATCAACTGAATCTTCCACTTTATCGACTGATTCATCAACTGAATCTTCCCCTACAACAACAGATTCATCAACTGAATCTTCCACTGCAACCACAGATACTTCAACAGAATCTTCCACATTAACTACAGATCCATCCACCGCATCTTCAACATTAAATACAGATACGTCAACAGATTCTTCACCTTTAGCAACTGATTCATCAACGGAATCAACACCAGTTACCACAGAATCAACCACGGTATCTCCACTAAATGCTGATGTTTATTGTTCTACATTACGAAAAAAAGGATACTTTAGGGTGGAGAGTGATTCAACTTGCAGACAGTGAGTCTAGATTGTTGATTACGCATTAAATAGGAATTATTCATGTACGAATTGTAAAATTCCAGGTACGTGTACTGCTATAAATTGAGCTTGGATTACCTGGGTTGGCTTTACTATTGCAACACAAATGAATTTTATAATTCTGATACACAATCTTGTCAGACCGAACGGCCCGCGAGTTGCTGAAAAAGATACCATTAAAGATACAAATTTTCTTGTTGTTGAAGTTTCAATGTGATTATGGCACAGAATATTATTATTGTTTTGGGCAACCTGATCCATATTATTTAATAAAATGGAAAAGCTTCGGCGCTTCTGCATACATCCCTCTGGTTTCTGGCAATGCGGAGCCGAAAAAGTCGAATTAAATGTACGTGGTATTTGCCTTACATGAAAAGATCACCGCCGTAGCTCCTCCACTTGACACATAGCAAAAGACGTAGCTGCATGTAAAATGCAAGATGAATTAATTAACTCGCAAAGGTAAAGAAAATATCACTGCATACCTGCCGCAAGTGGGATCGTTTTGATTTTCCAATGTAGCCGATTTGGTCACTTCCAGGCAGGTCTTTTCAGCACTCCATTCCGGTGTGCTTTGGTCATTTAATTCGGGTGCTGGGTGTGCAGCTAAGCCATTTTAAATTTCTTTGAGGATTGGAAACGTTGAAGGCCACTGATATGTATTCTAAGTCCGAAAATCGTAATCTAAATACTTTTTTATCTCTCTTCCTACCAAGGTACAGTGATAAACTTTTATGGCGGACTTATTATACCCGGTACTCGCAGAGTAAATAGGGTATATTGTATTTGTGGGGAATAACGGCCCGACCCCATAGAGTATATATATTCCTGATCAGCATCAATAGCCGAGTCCATTGAGCCATGTCTGTCTGTTCGTCTGTCCATCCGTCTTGTTTGTCGGCTAGTTTTCAGAGACTATAGGAGCTAGAGCCACCAAATTTTGCATCCATACCTCTGTAAGCTCAGACCGTTACAAGTATATTTTAAAAATTATCCCCGCCCCCTTCCGCCTCCGCAAAGGGACGAAACCTCCCAAATCTACAATTTTGAAGATAAAATCTAAAATCGCCATTCTATAGGGAATGATCATATTTATCAGATCACCAATGAAGAAATAATTTTGTAGTGGCTAAACCCACCCCGTCCCGCAGCTTATATTTGTTTTTTTCACATTCTCTCAATCACACTCTGCTTCTGCCTCTGCCTCTCGCGTTCCTCTGCCTCTGCCGGGATTCTGCAGTGTGTGGGTCTAGGAAAGGGGGGCGAGCTTAAGGAGCGTGTTGATGTGAGAAGTGTTGGAGATGTAGATGACAGATGAAGAAAAAGTGCAAAATTTTACAAAACACCGCTAAGGTGCAGATGTAGTACTGAGTGCCGGGTATAAAAGTTGTGACGCTTAAGAAACGTCTCACACGTCCCTTCTCGTTTGTGTTTCATTTTCAATGATATAATGCTAAGCGTAATGAGAATACTTGCAAGAGTATCAGTATCAGTAATCAGTATTTTCGCTGGAAATGGGGCATGCAATAAAGCCTTTTAGTGAAACTCAGTAAATAAATTAATACCCAAACTCAAAATATAATTAAAAATATTAAATATAAATTTTATGCACAATCGGCTGGTTTCTTAGCACTGCAGCCCTTTAAAGTTGAATCAAAGTATGGCTTTGTTTCTTTACAAGTATAGATTAGCGCCGTTGCTACTCCATTTGACACATAACAATAGAGGTAGCTGAAAGAAAAAAGCCACTTTAGTTTAGGACCTACTGTCAAAAATCGGAAAAAATATTCTTACGTGGCGCATGTGGGATCATCTTCATTCTTAAATGATGCAGACTTGGTCACATCCAGACAGGTTTCCTCTGCGCTCCAAGGTTTTTGAGTTGTCGTAGTTGGTTCGGTAGACACTGCCGTACACCCATCTGGTTTTGTGGCCGTACATGTATTTAAGGACACATCAAAGTATTGGTTAGGTTTGCATTTCAAAATTGAAGCGCTTTCTAATGTGCCGTCCTCGGCGACTTTACAATGCAAGAAACTGTGAATAGGTGGGGGGATTTAGTTTTCATTCGGCGGTAACCTTTTCAGAATACTTATGTTCTTACGAAGTGCACGTGGGATCATTTTCGTTTTTTTGAAAGCCAGATTTGGTGGCTTGCTCGCAGTCTGCAGTCCAAGGCATCATTGTGGTGGTTGTGGTAGGTGCTTTATCTGCTTTGCATACCGGCTCAGCATTTTCATAGCAAGTGTACTCGCCATCGGTGCAAAAATAATTTGTCGGGCAGTTGAGTATATCGTTAAGAGGTACTCCTGGAAGTGAAATAATGCTAATTGGTATTCCCCCAATATATGTGTGTTTATTTGGGCTTACCTGACGAGCATGCGGAAAAGCTGTTTTCGCTACGACATGCCGTTTTGCTGAGCGTCTGGCACACACCGCAAGTGGCCGCCGCGTATTGGCAAAATATCTTGAATTCGGGCAAAAGTGTAGTTAGGAACCTGCACCAGGAATGCGATGGGCCAGAATAGTTACCAGCGGAATTATAATTAGAGCCTTCAACCACATGTTTTTTGTCTTTAATCGTTACTCATACTAAAATGCTGTGAGAAGAGGATTTATCTTATATGTAGCTCCACAACATCATCGTAATTCTTATCTTAAATGGCAGCCCAAAACACACAAACACACACACACCAGGAGAAATATAACAAATATATGTTATATGCATGTATATATGCATGTTTTTATTGCGTTATCATCAGGCTCTGAGGCATCAATAAATAGACGTACGAACACACAAGGCCACACGTAATGTATATGAAAATATATTCACAAATTGATGGCGCATTTCTTAGCTGTTTAGCAGGGTACGAGCATAGCAGTAGTATACAATGTATAGGAATAGACAGATTCGAGTACGCTAATTAGATACATATGTATAAATCTTGCTATTAAATAAATCTTATCAACGAAGGTATAGTCAAAGTATAGCTAATGGTTTGTTGTGTGTATAAAGGTGTATACTGGGTAGTAGTTATTAATTCGCATATTTGCCGCGTAGTCTTGCTTGTTTCAGAATTACTCAGATACATAAATAGCTACATTCTATGGGTATATAGGTATTGGTATCGGTATAGGTATACTACATAAAACTAATTGTAAAACATTTCTTAAGGCAAATCATAGCAGTTTAAGGAGCACTTTATACTTTATGCTCGTTCCACTTATCTAAGCTTAAGGCAACATCGATGTTCTAATATTATTAAATTAGTGAAAATAAATTCGTAATGTCTAAAACGAAATAGTACTTCGTCAAAAAATGCATTAAATTTAAATTTATGTTTAAGTTGTGGACGTGTGTATACTGTTTACATATTTTTATTTCTAGACGCATCCGTACTCATACCAGATGCTATTGCTCTTGTCCTCGCTTCGTTTTCGGCCAGACTTATCATCCTGAGTGGGAGTAACAGAGACATTTCCACCTCCACTGCCGCTGGCCTCAGTTGTTACCAGCGGATTTTGGTCTGTAGTCGTGGACACTCCCCCAATCGTGGTGTTGATCCGATTGTACATGAGGAACGTGGCAGGTCCTGGACTGCTGATGTTGCTGTTGTTCTCGTTATTCTTTTGTGGGGTCTGAGGTTCTGCTTTGGGAGTTGGTGTTCCGTCACTGGCGATACTGGTGCTGGCAGACTGCTGCTGTTGTGCGTTAGATCCAGGGCTGGAGTTGGATCCATCGGGTAATTTCTGGTGCTCGTCAATAAGATACACAGTGCGACGGGAGCCGGCTGTGCCTAGGGTTAGGCTACTGCCAGTCACGTCTGGCGCTTCAAGGCTTCTGCAAATCCAAAACGAATTGTTAGTACTAAATTTCTTATCTAAATTATGAGTTGACCGAAAAACAACGACAGAGACGACAGGGCAGTGGAAGTCTTGCGGAAATTAAAAATGGGGATTTGGCAGTAGTTAGAGGTACCAGAGATTGTTATACATTTAAAAGCGCATACCCGTGCACGCTATTTCTACGTGAGTTATTCAAATCCGTACGTTTCTGTGCCTGCAAGCTACTGCGCACGGCGCCACCACGTTGGATCGAGTTATCCAGCAAATCCCTACTCGTGGAGTTTTCGGTTTTTGTATTGTGCATGTGGTTGTGCGTTGTTGGTGGTGTGAGGGTTGTTGTGTATGTGTACATGTAAATAGAACAAGAACCATATCCCAACAGTAAATTATATTATCCAATAAACCATATACTCGATTCGAATCTTTTTGGAAGTGCGGTCTTACCGCTGAAGGCTCTGACGTAGTGGCATGTTTCGCTGCAACAAATGCGTATCGGAGGCAACGGACAGGGGTTCTTCATTGCTGTTGTCCGATTCATTGCCACCAGACTCGGATCCAATAACAAATTGCGAATTTGTGCGTGCATCATCTACCCAGGAGCGACGGTTCTGAAAAACGAAAATTGAGAATTATTTTTCAGGGTCTTTCAGGGATTTTTGTCAAATCAAACCTACGCGACTGGGCACTTTGTTCATTAGATCGGAGCTAGCTTTCTTTACACGACGCACCAGACTTATGGCAAAGGGTTTTCTTAACATAGGAGGGGTGGAAACGATTAGAAATTTCGAAATAGAAGTGTATTTGGCTGGTGGAACTCACTTCTTATGCACCGTCGTCTCTGACTTTTTGTAGTGTTCCATGATTTTCTCTTCAAGCTTCTCCTTTTGCCGCTTCAGGCTGTGTACCCGCTCGGTATAGTTCTTCTCTTCTTCATGAAAATGTTTCTTGTCCTCCAGGGAAATGGCCAACAGCTCTTGATACTGGGAGAGCAGCTGCGAAACATTGTCCATCAGGGCCTTGCGCTCAGAGTCCAGGTCGCCGTTGTTTTGTATAAGCATCTGCAAGTGATTGACAATATAGCCATCGAATGCCAGCGAAAATAAGTGCTCGGTGTATACTTACCTCACAGCGCTGCTGAAGTTTGCTGTACTCCATTTGAAGCAGACGCACTTGATCACTCCTGGTGTTGAGCTCCCCCGAGAGCTCCGTGTTCTGTAGCTTAAGGCTGCTGTGCTCCATGCGTATCATTTTGTACTGTTCCTGTATGTTTTTGTACTCGTTCTTGAAGCGGTCGCTGGTGGCAAACAGATTGCGGAAGTCGTCGGTGAGCTTCGAATGCTCGGTGCGCAAGATGGAGAGATCCTCACTGCAGGTCTTCATGCTCCCATTTTGAGTGGTGAGCTCCTCAATGCGCTGTTCTAAAGCCGTTTGCTGTTCCCGGGTGTCGCGCAACTCCTGGCGCAGATCTCGAACTGCTGCCTTCAGCTGCTCCTTGTCCTTGTTCAGAGATTCATATTCGGCGGAGAGCTGGTCGTGAAGACATTGAAGAGTCACCTGATCTTGCAGCGCATTTTTGTGCACCTGCTGAAGGGAGTCGATGTCTTTGAGCAGCGTGTCCTTCTCTGCGGCCAGTTGAGAGTTTGCCAGCTGCAGAGCCACGTGCTGGGTATTCAGGGAAGTGATCTGTGAGCCCAAAGCAGCCACATCGACACTTAGGCGGGCGTTTTCGGTCTGCAGCTGCGTGTTGCAATCCTTAACCCGCATAAGCTCAGCGGACTCTCGGACAGGAGTCGGCCTACGTTTGTGCTCGAAGCGCAGTTCCTGGGAAGAGCTGGTCGGGGCCAGCTCAATGTTCTTCTCCACTGTGAAGATCTCTTGGCGATGGCATAGAACACACATGTCCGATTTAAGGCCACCCTCACCCTCCTCCTCATCAGCATAGCGTTCCTCCTGCTGCTCGCGTTTTACGTTCAACATAATCTCACGCACCGTTTTAAAGGTCTCTGGATTGCGCACCAGTTTTTCAACCACATGCTCCACATTCAGTTCAGTCGGCTCGCTGTCGGTGAGGCCGAGCTTTGCCAGATTGTGTCGCACCTTCTTGGTCACCAGCGTGCCAGTGACCAGGTCTTCGCGGAGCGTGTTAATCATCTCCTGATCGATGTTTCGTTGCGATGCCAGCTCTTGGTTTTGTTTCTCCAATTCGATGAGCTTCTGCTGCACCTGCTCGGTCTCTTCGAGCACTTTGCTGAGCCTCATAATCTCTTTGGTCTGCGTGTCCAGTTGATTGATGCTTTGGTCGAGCTGAACGGACTTCTCCTCGCTGCCCTCCTTCAGTTTAGATACCTCTTTGAGCAGGCTGGCATTCTCCCGCTCGTATGCAGACACTTTGGCCTCGATCTCGTAGAGTCTTTGTTTGGTCTGCTCGTACTGCTTTGCCTTCTCGGAATGCTGCTCCAGCTCCTTGTTCTTGCTTTCCGCCAGCCGCTCCAAGTCATCCGCACGCCGTTGAATGCTTTCATTGAGCGTTTGGATGCGCTGCTTCTCCTTGTTAAGGGTTTCGGCGTGCTGTTCGGCATCTGCCAGCCTCTGGCGATCCACTTCGCGCTCCAGGCTTTGGCGATCGTAGCTCTTCTGGCGACTGTCCACGGCATCTTGCAGCTTCTTGTTCTCTTCTAGGGCATTCTTGAATACGCCCTCCAGCTCCACATTCTGCTGGGATAGCCTCTGAATGTTCTCCTGCATCTGGTCGATCTTCAGGGAAAGCTTCTTCTTCTCCTTCTCCAACTCCAGCATTTTATTGGTGGACTCGTGAAAGCTGCTTTCCTTCAGCTGCTCCAAGGCGGCAGTCAGCCGCCGATTCTCCAGCTCCAGCTTTAGGGCACGCGTCTGAGCATTGTTGGTTAGCTGCTCGGACAGACTATTGTCCCCCGAGTTGCAATCATCCTCGTTCTCTGAAAAGGACTTGTCGCCCTCGTGTGTCGAGTTCAAATTCCTGGCCACTAGCTGCAGCTGAGCGTTTTCCTCCAGCAGCTCCTCCAGCTTTGAGCGATCCACATCCCGTTCCAGGGCCATGTCATTTAGCTTTTGCTTGTATTTTATGATCTCGGACTCCAGGGAAATGGCATGCTCCGAACGTTTGCGGTAGCGTTGCAACTGCTCCTCCAGCATTTCCCTAATGGACATAGATTTGGTTAGTAAAAATCATTTCCGATTCTGTCTTCTTATACTTTGATTCCAGCAGCACACGGTTGTCTTCGCGCAACTCCTCCACCCGAGACTTGTAGAAATCAGAGTCGCCGAGTTTCTCACGATACTTTTGAACTTCGACCTCCAGCCGATCGGCGCGCTCAGCTCGCTCGCGTAAGATGTCCACCTCGTCTCGATAGGCAGATGCCCGTTTGGCTTCTGAAAACCAATCCTGACTATCCTGCCGCAGCCTGTCAAAGCGCACATTCTTTTCGTCCAGCTCCTCCCGCAGCTCCAGAAGGTTCTCCGACTTTTCCTCCCTGTAAAAGCAATATTATTAGCAAATCAATCAAAAAGAAAGCCAATTGACACGTTTCAACATACAGCTCCTGCCGAAGCTTGCGATTCTTCGATCTAAGGTCTGCACACTCTACTGCTAAATGGTTGCTGTCCGAGTTGGATGACGATGAGGGTGTTGAGGTGGCGGTTCCGTTCGAGGGAGAGCGCGGCACACTGACAACGCCTTGACCACACTCCGCCAAATTGTCGGCCGTCGTCATTTCGGGCTCCATGCACACAAGGTCAATCCATTTCAAATACATGACATCTCGCTCCTTGGTCAGACGAAGGATGTGGGTGTACATGTTTTGTGGCGATAGCCGCTCCAGCGAGTCTTCGGTGAGCACCAGACTATGGCTGTCGGTCACCTGTTTGATAAGTGCTACAATGGCATGCTGTGTCTCCAGATCGAGTTCCTTGATGCGCGCTATGAACAACTCCTTGTTGGGACATTGCACTGCCGCACCCAGAAGCAGAGTGAGCAGCGTTTTCATTTGCTCCAGTCCGTTCCTACTCTCCGGATGATAGCCCAGCGTGACAGCGTCGGGCAGGACCAGTATGGTCTGACCCAGCTCTTCCTCAAACAATGATTTCAAATTCCGAACGATGCACTCAAAGTTCTTGGCCCTGGCCACACTCAAAGATTTTCCACTAAATTCGGTCAACGCGCTGGGATTGTTTTGCGGCTCCGGGTCTATTTGGAGCCAAACGCTGTGTATGATATGGCCATCCAGCAGCGAGGTGTAACCGGCAAGAAGTTCGGCACGAGGCAGACATGACTCTAGCTGGGGAGACAAGAAAAAGAGAAGTTAACCATTACAGATGAAAAACAGAACAGAGCGAGCCATGAGCGGCCACGAACATGCAAACAAAGCACAAACAGCATTAAAGTTCTACCGTAAGCTGTCGTAAGCCAGTTACAATGACCTTGCTACTAGCTACCTGGTGAGTGCTGTGCTGTGCTGCTGCGGAAGCCTATGCGAACGAGCGAGCGAGCAGGCTGTTCTCTTTGTTGCTGATGTTCGTGTGTGTGCCCATGGGAATTACTTGAGAGCAAAACATTCAATTACTTATGCCAAGCACACAGCCCAATTTCGCAATAGATATTGAACATGTTTATTCACTTCACTCACCCAAGAAACGAGTGCTCCATTTATGAATTCATCAATTTCCATTGGCGTTGCCGCGGCCGTACCAGCCATTGTGGTTGCTGTTTTTTTTTTGTATATTTTCTCAACACGGTATAGCGTGTGTGAACAAGTACGCGGGCCGTGCCGCAGACGTTGCTGCACCTGTTACAATTTTACAGCTGCACCGCTGCGGCTTTTCCGAGATACACTGCTTGTTTTTATTCTCATTAGTACCTTACAAAGGCTTCCAAACATTCCAAGGGTGGCAGGGCATATCTAAGCCGTGAGAACACGCATGTACACAGAAATATGGTTTAATTTATTCAGATTTATTGATTCTGCACAAACATCAAATTGAATTGCAATTATTTTGAATGAGAACAACAAAATTAATAAATGGGCAAAATCACTTTTTTTGAAGGCTGGAAAAAAGTGTGATCGCGGATTTATCGATGAAATATAACCTCAGAAATATACCGAAATATAACTACCCATTTTCGAAATATACCGAAAAATTCCGATGTGTGTCTATAATCGGAAATCGTATTCCCCGATTTTATATTCTTTTTAAAGCCTTGCCTCAGAACGAAAAAAATGGGCCGCTAGAAAAACCAGGGATGATATTCGTATGGAACCGATAAGAAATGTTGTCACGCACAAGTTACTTTCTAGCGGCTGTACGCCAGGCCGATTAAATCTAGAAAGTCAGCCGATGGTATTTTGTGGTATTGATAATATTTGTGTGGTATTCGTTGGTATGTTGCTAGCAGCTCGAAAAATATAGATCATTATTGTTTGAACGGCAAACAACTCTTTTTTGAGTTCAAAATTTGTAGTAACATTTGTACCTGGTCAATGTGGACTCATCGTCTTCGACCAACCAATTTCGCTGTAGCGATTCAATTAAAAAAAAAAACAAAAAAAAGTATAAAGATCTGTTTTAATTTCCGAGAGGGTCCTAGCAAACAGAGAGTAAAGTTGAGTAAAGGAAAGTTGAAAGATAAATTACCACCGTGCTTGTAAACGCGCTTAAGGCCATCAAACGGCAAAAAAGGAAACAATTATTATAGATTAATGAGATTAAATTGAATTTATTTGCATTTTTAATATGTTTACCTTATTTGAACGCCAGTATCTTTATGTTGCCAATACACAGACCCGGCTGGCCTGTTAACAAAATGTTTTAAGTTGTGTTCCTTTTGGGACCAAGTACTGCTCCACAGGGTCGTGCCAAGGGGCGAAGGCGGCGATTTGGACTCGAAACTATCCAATGTTGAATAGGAAGGGGGCTTGGAGGTTTTACAACTTTGCAACGGGTGCAAATATTCCTTGGCACGGCCTTGCTGCTCCACCGATCAAAGAAGTCTGCAGATGTTATTCCCAGCCATATGCAAATTCTCTGTCATATTTTCATACTGCGGAATATGCAATGGTATCCTTTTATGGGTTTCCATAAATGAACACATTTTTAAATGATTTATAACACTCAAATGTATAGACGACTGTCCTGGTTTCTTTCCTGCAGATATAGGTTTAATCAAATTTGTCGGCGCTTATTTCGTTGATTGTCCTCCTCCTCCGATCATGCAAGAGCCGCCGGTCCCACTAAAAGCAATCTCCGGCATGGATCCATTTTGCATTCTTTGTTTTATTAACCTTTTATTCAATTTTCACACATTTTCAGAAAGGTGAACAAAACAACACAGCTGCCTGAGAAGATTAACCGTACGGAATGCGGGTTTCACCTCTGGTCACACTCTGTTGCAATCAAAATATATTGCACATTTTGATAGCAAACGTGTTTTTCGATCTGAGAAAGAATTCTTTTATCCGATTGATGATTAATTGTTCTACAATATTGGTTAAAATTAAGGACTCAGTAGAAGAAGTCTACCAGATCAAGGCTCACGTTTTCTAAACGACATTTTAGAGTTGGCCACTATAAGTCTCAGGCAAACTTTGTAAGGGTATCAGGATGGGACCACGGCTGCCTCCGTGCATCGCAGGAGGAGAAGAGGAGTTGATCCAAGCAAAATCACAACGTGCCGAAACCGGCCTTAGGACTCCCCTTCATTGGGTTGTTCAAAAATTCTTAAAAATCCTGAAACCTGAATTCCTGAATTTCATTTTAACTACGCAGTATGAAAAACCTCCGTTCTACCACAGTATAGTTATATACTACTACTATTTGGTTAGTGGTTCTACTTTTTCAATTTAAAATTTGACACATAACGAGTCTATTAAAATACTGGATTCGAAATAACTACACTTTTGCCGCTTCGATCCAGAATAACTTTTTCTTAAAGATATGGGTCTTAAAAATGGTTTGATGGTAATTTTTTGTTTAAGGCAAGACTTTTTTTATAGAAAGTTTAAAGTCTGTTATTTTTTACATAACTTAAGTAATGAGTTGTAATGAATTAAGATATTCCATAAAGCGGATACATTTTTTTTCTACTTTTTTTATACAGATCAACATTTTGAATGCATTTATGCTCTTCAAAGCTTAATATTTTTCAAACGGTAAGCTAAAACCACAAAGTGTTTATCAGCTCTATAGAATCGCTAAGTATATTACAACCAGATGTAAGATACTTAAGTTATATGAAATGAGATGCGCCACCTCTACAAAACCGCTACAAAAAATACCAGACTTTAAAAATTATTTTAAAAAGTTCTGCCATAGCAAAAAACCAAAATTCTTTAAAATCTGAAAAATTCGCATTTGGTTCGAAGCGGAAAAAAGTTATCTTTTGTCGAGTAGTGATCTTTTTATCTTTCAGGATGACCTGAATGTATCTAGCTAGCTTGAGATGACACGATAAGAAGAGCTGACACTTTTAACAGCAGATATTCACATATCACTGTTAACTAACTTATCTATCGATAAGACGACGTCTATCAACGCAGAAAAGCTTTTCGAATATGTTAATTGATTTGACCAACGAACGGATTATTTAACGCGCCTTAAAAATGGCAACGCTTGCAAACAACAAATTTATGTTACGAGAATTAAACTATTAGAATTTAAAATCGATTTTCGAAAAATATTTAGTTAAGGTGACGCATCCGCGAGTGTCTTCAGTTAAATTCGACTGTCTATATATAGAATCTTCTATATATGCACAAAAAACGGCAAATAGGTTAAATATTTAGCATCTCGAGATGGGAAATCAGCCGGGAAAGCTTCACGCCCATGCACAGAGCGGTCGACCCAAGAAGAATGTCCATTGGAAGTCTGCAGGCAAGTTTCAGCGTTACTTCAAAAACAAATCCGAAAGTATTCCCAATCCCAGTCTGCATAGTCAGATAGAAACCATTCAGATGGGCTATAATCAGCGCAGACGGAGCCCACATATCTGGTGGGAGCGCTAGAAATGTTTCTATTTATAGCGACTCGCACACTCAAGTGGTTGCCGTGTTTCTGGTCCGTGATTGTGTGAATGTTTTGGCCTAAAATTTGAAAACGACAAAGTAATGTTTTCGAAACTACGGCTACAGCTAGTGACAGGCAGAGAAAGAGAGAGAGAAAGAGAGAGCCATCGGGCCACCGATACTGAGAGAGGGCCTAGTTTTCAGCACATCTTTTATGCTTGCTTCTGCTTTCAGAACGACCCTCTCCGCCTGGTCGGCCCATATTGACGCCACTGTCGCTCTCGGAGCAGCAGCCCGATGTGGTCAACCTGCGCTGGGATCGTCCGCTGCTCGACGGAGGCTCCCCGATCACCGGCTACACTGTGGAGCACCGTCGCATGGGCTCGCCGCACTGGGTGCGCGCCACACCCACACCTGTCTCCAGGTGCGATGTGTGCATCAGTGGACTGGAGCCGGGCTGGCGGTACCAGTTTCGCTGCTTTGCCGAAAACGTCGTGGGACGATCCGACGCCAGCGAGCTCTCTGATCCCCTGACGGTTACACTGCAGCGCAATGCAATAACCGTTCCCCGCTTTATAGACGAGCTGTTGGACACTGATGCGGTGGAGGATGAGCGCATTGAGTTCCGAGTGCGCATTCTCGGTGAGCCACAGCCGGAGATCAACTGGTTCAAGGATGGCTACGAGATCTTCAGCAGTCGCCGCACCAAGATCCTCAACGACAACGACGCCAGTGTCCTGATCATTCACCAAGTGGCACTGACGGACGAGGGCGAAATTAAGTGCACTGCCACGAACCGGGCTGGCCACGTGGTGACCAAGGCAAGGCTCATGGTGCAGGCGCCACCCAAGATTCGTTTGCCGCGCACCTACGAGGACGGGCTCATTGTGGAGGCGGACGAGGTTCTGCGTCTGAAGGTCGGCATTGCCGGCCAGCCGCCGCCGGCCATTACCTGGCTCCACGAGGGCGAAGTGATTGCCCCTGATGGACGCTTCGAGGTACTTGAGTGGTTTCAATATCCTACTCATATCTGCATGGTTTTCATCTGTTTTCTGTTTTCTTTGAAGGTTACCAATACAGAGAAGAACTCGCTTCTCAAGATAGATAACGTGCAACGAGAGGATCGCGGGGAGTACATGGTGCGTGCATGGAACAAGCTGGGGGAGGACAACACTTCCTTTCTAGTCACGGTCACGGCACGGCCCAATGCTCCGGGTGCTCCCCGTCTTAACATGTCGTTCGGCAAGTCCGCAACACTCGCCTGGACGGCACCGCTGGACGATGGTGGCTGCAAGATCGGCAACTACATTGTGGAGTACTTCCGAATGGGCTGGAACGTCTGGCTGAAGGCCGCCACCACGCGCGCCCTGACGACTACTCTGCACGATCTGATCGAGGGCTCGGAATACAAGTTCCGCGTCAAGGCTGAGAACCCTTATGGCCTGAGTGAGCCATCCGAGGAGTCGGAGCTGCTCTTCATACCCGATCCCAAGCGTGGCATCACCAAGCCCAGGTCTGCGAGCAAAATCGCTGGCGATGAGAAGGATAAGCCCAAGTCGGAGGCGGTTCAAGTACCGCCTCGTCGCAAGACGCTCTCTCCACCTCGCCCCCATGCAGATGCCGCGACGGGCATGTCGCCAAAACAGTCGCCAAACGCCAAACGCAAGCCAAAGCCTCAGCTCATCGACAACGAGCAGTTGCACCATGAAATGTCGTACGGCACCTCGGACCAGGCTCTGAAAATGGATGTGCGCAAGAGCCCCTCCCAGAGCAGTGCCGACTCCACGGCCAAGCCGGTGACTGCATCCAGTAATAAGCTCAATCTCACGTTGATCACCACCACCGCTCTGGCGGACAAGACAGGGCTCCCGGCTGGGCTCCAGAAATCGCCATTTGGCTCACCTCTCAAGTTGTTCAATGCCAAGCCCACGACCGAGGCCAAAGAGAAGTCCCCACTGCAGTTCCGGCCCCAGGCCCTGCCCACTCCGCCTGAGGAAAAGCCGTTAAAGTCAGTTCTCCATCAAAAACGAAGTCTCAGTCCACCAAGCAAGCGGCAGCACTCAGAAACGCAACCAACACCCCCACCAGAGGCCATCAAGTCAACTCCAGCCCTGCAGCGCAGCGCGGAGCCAGTCCAACTGGGAGTTAATCAGAACGTGAGACGATTCTCGGGCCAAGCCCTAAGCCCGGCGAGGAACGTACCCACCCTAGCATTGGCAGTGGCAGCCAGTGCTAGTGCGGTGATTGGTGAGCGGCTGCCCACCATTGAGATCAGTGCACCACCACCAGCCACAGCCACAGCGACTGCCACAGTTCCGGGCTATGAAGAGTCCCCCAGATCCAGACACAAGTCCAAACAGAGACCAGACGCTTCTCCCATTTCTAGACGTGCCCCCAGGTCAGCGGACAAGCACGACGAGGTGCACACCAGTAACGAGTTCATGCTCGTCGTCTTCGACAAGAACAGCAAGGTCAAGGATAAGGACAGTAGGTATACCCAGAGTGCATCCATGTTCCAAGTCATTCCCGTTTGCATTTGTTCTCCCCACAGAGCAAGACTCCTTCGAGCTGGACCTGGAGGATGCCATACAGCCACCGCCTATATCCATCTCCGCCCCTGATCTGGCATTTCTGGAGTTCAATAACCTGCACACCACCTTCCCGCTGCGTCGCTCCGTGAGCTCCACCGAGCTGCTCTATGAGCGCGCAATGGCGAGATTCTACGAGGCGGTGGAGTTGGAGCAAGCGGCCAAGTCGAGAAAGGCCTCTCAGGAGAGAATGGCAAATAGTACGCAGGCTCCCGGTCCGCCGGCCAATCTCCGTAAGCGCCTCGGCTCCATTTCAGAGGCAGAGCGGGTCTCCTTCGAGCGGAGGAGCGAGCTGCGCCGGCAATCAGCGGACATGGTTAGCATGGGGCGAAAGTGGGACTCAAGGGAGAACGTCAACGATCTGGGCAGCCTCTCACGCACCCACACCACGGCACTGAGTGCGGCTGAGCAACAGCAGCACATCCGGGAGCAGGTGCAGGAAGCGCCTGACGACGATGAACGGACCGAGAGCACTGCAGAAGACAGTGAAGATTTGAACATGGAACTGGACGAGCACTATCCAGTGCAGGGACAACAACAGTCTAGTTACGACCTGGGCTCTGACTACACGGAGAGCACAGCCTCCTCGGAGCAGGACTCCATTGAGAAATTCAAGATGGAACTGTTGGCTCGCACCCGTTCGCCCAGCCCCCGCGATCTGGAGACGTACCATCCTCGGACCATGGCCGCTGGCACCTTCACACCCTATCGCGCCCCCACACCGGAGCAGGCGGCTGTGGTCCTCACCCGGCCAATGCCACTACCCAGTCCCGACTTTGTACCCAAGCCGATCCTTAAGCGCCCGCCCATCGAGCAGGGGGAGCCGCCCATGAGCCCACCCATCCCAATCGGTCCATCTTTGCCGGGAAACGGCAATGGTGCCACACCCACCACAGCAGTGACAGTCGCAACTATCCCACACGTCACACCAAGCATGGCCCCTAATCCCATTACCAGCAGTAGCAGCAGTTTAAAGATGGATCTGGCCAAGGGCATAAAGTCGTTTTTTAGCCGCGACAAGCGGTCCGCCACCGAGAAGAACACTGAAGCCAATGAGGAGATATCGAATCCCTTGGAGAAAACCAATGCCGCTGCCATTGCGGCCGATTTGGAGGTCAAACGCAGAGCCAAGGAGGAGGAGGAGTTGCGCCGCCAAGAGGCAGAGCGCCTCATGCAGGAGGAGGCACATGCCGCCGTCGATCACTACAGTGACCTAGTCCGGGAGGTCGGCAGCTCCCACAAATACCACACGCCCCTCTACCTAGATCGCGACGAGCTGAAGCGGGCCGCCGCAAAGGCAGCAGCCGAATCCGACGAGGATGAGGGATCGATGTCCAACACGGAAGAGCACAGGAAGAGACTGGCCATAAAGAGCAACGACGACATGCTATTGGCACCACCAGTGCTCAGTCGGGAGCGGCGTCTGTCCATCTCTGAGCGGGAGCAGCTGGTGCATGTGCGGGATGCATCCAGTAATCTGGCGTATCACAAATCAAGGGACAAAGACGAGGAGCGTGAAGCGGAGCAGCAGACTCAAAGCCAAGCGGAGGAGGAGGAGCCGGAGTACCCGACCGTTCTAGTGGTGCCCCCACCCAAGACAAAGAACAAGAGCGAGACGGAGAGTGAGAGCGTCATGAGCGAAACCGTTGAGGCTCGTCCCGATGCCCGGGGGCGAACGCGCCTCGTGAAGGTCAAACGGGTAATTAAGCGACGGGTTCCATCCAGCACGCGGTCTCGCGACACCTCGCTCAATAGACCCACAGCACCCGCCGCGGGAGGCCTCGCTCTAGCTGTGGAGAGGACCTCGCAGACGGCCCTGGTTCTCTCAAGCGCCGAACGGCATCTTCTGGAGCGAGCATCCGCACTGGCGCTGCTCCAGTCGGAGGAGCATACGCACGAGAAGGTACGCTCGGCTCTCAGCTACTGTACCGATCTGGTTCTCTTCCTTGTTGCCTGTTATGTGTACTTGTTCAAGGACGCGCGGCTTGTCCTGCCCATTCTTGGGCTGATAATTTACCGCCAACTTGGCGAGGCTATTAGGGGCTATATACCCAGTTGGTTGCGTCGCAAGGGCAACGACCAGACCTGATCATCTCTTCGCTCATCCTCACATGCCTTTACTCGTATCGGTTAAGCTAGTTTTTATTGAAGTCGACTTATTTACGTATGTATGTGTGTATGTATCCTAAGATAAAATTCGGTTTCGGATCGGACTGTCATAGAATCCATCCCCAAATTTCTGTTTACGCCGAGTCCTTGCAAATTCCCCATCGAATCCCATCCAAAATGGGTCGGAAAACGAAGGTACATTATTGGAATGATTCACTTTTGACTATCCCACAGTTTCGCCACTGAGATCACTTTACATCTATGAGTAAATCACCTCGGAGATAAATGTATATCAAACATTTCGATAACTAATTAACAACAATCATGTTCTAAAGTGTGTTTTCACAGAGCTGTGAATAATAGCAAGCTACTTTGAAATTTGCAAGGATATCTGACTCTTCGGTCACCGAAGTTGAAATTCTTTCCTTTTTGTTTGGAAATGATTCGTGAAAGTGTCATACGTGTACGGATGTGGATGTTTCCTTTAGTGCCTCATCGTGTTATGAAGTGTTCGTTTGCGGTTCTTTGTCGCCTATCTGCATTGTTGGAAATAAAGCTTGGGCCAAACTAACTATCTAGGGTTAGTTTATTCCGAAATTGGTCTTTGTTTTGGTCTTTTCTTGTTTGCTCCCCTTATTTATGCCTGACGTAGACTTCCTCGGAGGGATTACTAGCCGAGTAATACTATAAACAGATCGAATCTGAGGCTTATCTGTTGATGACGACAACTGTCAGCAAAGATGCTGCGACAAATTCCGGGAGGCCACTATCAGCAGATAACTTGGATTTGGATATATGAGTTTGTATAAAAGGTAGACACTTTCGCTTGGCCGGCAGACAGTCGCAGTCATAACTCTGCAACCATGGCTATTACCCTGGGGCTTCTCTGCTTATTCGCCCTCGGCACCGCATCACTTGCCCAATGGCCGCTGGACCAAAAACAGCCCCCGCTGCGCACAACTGGGGGAGAATTCCTGCAGCCATTCCCTGGGGCTCCGATGCTGCCGCCACCTCCACCACCAACCCTCTCTCGGGATCTGGACGAGATTACACGGCTGATTCAGTTCAAGCCTCTGAATCAGCTGCTGGTGCGTTACCTGATAAACGATGCCCAGTTCCAGGCCTTTGTGAGGATTATCAATAGCAACGCTGGCTTCACGGCCCGCTGGCGTTTGCTCTCGCAGCCAGAACTTATCCTTTTCCTACAGTGGGTCGACCAGCAGCTACTGGCTTCTGGCGGCGCCTTTGAGATGGAGGAGCAGGAGCTGGCCGTCACTCTGTTCAACCGCTTCCCCTACTGGTCGGGCACCGTTTTCGGCTGGCAGGGATTCCTCAACGAAGCGCAGCTCTACTTTCCCACATATGCGATTCGCGCCCATATAGACGCCAAACTGCTGCAGCCGGGCATCTTCTCGCAGTTCTGGTCAAGACTACAGGCTTTGCGCGTGGTCTACGAACGCTGGTTGGCCTTGCCGGGCACTGCGCAGGTTGTGGCTGAGCTGCAGCAAGCGGGCATCGACACGGCTCAGTTAGATGAAATTATACGCGATCTGTTTGGGTGGAATGTTGTCTCTGCACCAACCACTGCAGCACCTACAGTAACTGCAGCAACCTCGACGCCAGCACCTCCCACAAGTAGTCCAGCTGCTGTGATCCCTCCGGGAAACGGAGCCCCTGTGGATCCCCTGCCAGTTGCCTAGGGTGGTCAATATATCTATCGTATATTTGTTTGATATTTGCACTAGCAACATTCGGCCGAGGCCTCTAACAATGAATGGGAACTAACTACATATATGTAAATCATTGGGCGGGGCGGTCTTCAGTTAGAACTTCAGCTTGCCCAAAGTGTCAGAGACCTTCTCGGTGTTGGCAGCTGGCTTCCGTTTGTTCTTGAGGGGGGACACGGCTGGCTTCGGCTTCTTGACCACCATGTCCTTATGCAATGTCTTGAGAGTGGCATCCACCTTCTCCTGCTTGGCCTTGACAGATTCTTTGATCTGGAAAATAGGCATTGGTTGAGTGAGGATGCTTCACATTGGATGGGAATTTGCTGTGCCGGCGAATTCTCTGTGAATCTCCACTCACCTGCTTCAGCTTGCCCTGAACTTCTTTGGGCTTTTTGCCCTTGCCCTTCCTGTTGTCGGCCACTTTAAACACATTCTTGGCCTTCTTTGATTTGTTTAGCTGTGTCTTCGGCTTCGCTGCAGGCGCCACCTTCTTGTTATTGGCCTTGTTGCGACCCATCTGCAATTAGTCAAAGGAATATACGCTGTTCGTGTACTTTACTTGTTTCAAGGCAACTTTATTGTCAAAACACAGCTCTGCTCTTAAACACATTTCACTTTTGCTTCCGCCACCTCAGTCTGAACATTCTTATCCCCAGCGACCCGCTTGCGTGTGTTACTTGCTTCGGCTTCCTTCGGCGTGGTTAGCAAATTTCGCGTAAGTTTAAAGGATACTCTGTACATGTCCTTATTTGGCGCTACATTCCGTACAAAGCTTATGCCCTGCAACAGCTTCTCGTCCAGTGTGGAGGCCAGGTTCTGTTCCACCAGCTCTCTCACTAATGCTCTCGTATTCTCGCCCTTGGCAAACGAATAGACGTGCACAGTGGGAAAAACCGCAGCATTATTGAGATCAGCCAACTCTTTGTCAGTGTAGAGGCCGCGATACGCATCCAGGAATTCCACAGCCATGGCTGGAAGATTCATTGATATGTGAATGGCATACTTCGATGTGTCCGTAGATAGCAGCCGTTGCAGCAGATCGTCCCGCAGCTCTTCCAAAATAAACTGTCTCCCATCTTTGTTGAACATTTTGATGTTGGACAGGCACTTGTTCCGTTTCGCGTTGTGCTGCAGCCAGTGGAAGCTGACGGGGTTTAGATCGTTGGCCAGGACATGGCACCGTTTCTTTGCCGCCGGCACGCTGAACGGACCCACGCCGGCGAACACATCGTAGAGAACATCTCCGGGCTGAAGCAGTTTCACGATGCGCTCGTGCTCGGTAGAGAGGCGCGGGTTCCAGTACACCTTTGAGAAGTCAAACTCGAAGGGAATGCCATTCTCCTTGGTCTCCACTTGATAATCGGGCTCCCCGCATATCAGCTCCAACTGGAAGTTGCGGTATGTATTGTCTATGGTTGACGCTTTATTGACCACCGTGCGGCAGTTCGGCAACTTGTCGCGCAGCACCTCCCCAATGATCTGCTTGAACGGCAGCAGGTGGTCACGCAGGTTCAGGTGCACGATGTGGCCGATGCGCGAGTAGGATGTCATTCCCTCCTCCTCCTCTGGGAGCACACTCTTTAGAATTTCGTTGACGCTCCAGTTCTCGTAGTTCAACTCAAGTTCGGCAAAGCAGAAGTGCTCCTGCGTGACTTGCTGCTTCTGCAAATCTTCTGTGGGCAGGGATTCCCAGCCTTGTATGGGCATTGGGTGCAACAGGATCTCGCGTGACTTATCCACGGCCCGCACAGGGTGCAGGTGCTCCATTTTGAGCAGGAATTTCTTAACCAGCGGGATTACAAGTTGCACCTGCGATTCGGGCACTCGCAGCCTGGGAACTTGCACACGCTTTTGAAACTCGGAGCGCTGGAGCTCTCGCATCCCCCTCACCGAGGCGGGCGGCAGCAGCTCGGAACAGTTCATGTTTCGAAAGTAATGACGTAAACGCGTAAATATAATCGTTATTCGTGGGGCCTGCAGTCTCGGAACAAATCTCATATAGCACGTGGGCCGTACCCTCTGTGTTTTGGAAGCTGTGAGTTTACAGTGAGGGCGTTTTTTATGGTGTTTATTCTGGCCCACACTTTAATACTATTTCCAACTCTAGTACCCTGTAATTAATTACCTTTTAATAATTGTTATTAGTAAATAAAACCAAACCAAATTCTCAAAGCAGTCGATAGTCGTATCGATTATAATTGTTGATTCTATATCGATATATCGAGATGTATGATATATTTTATTTTTGACACGGTAGAGAGACGTGATGTATCGATGTGTAGCCGTCGCTAAGTGCGGATATGGCAAAATCCAGCAAGAGCGTGCGCTCAACAGCACTTTGGAGGCCTCACTGTTAACAGTTAAATGATTGGCGCTCTATTAACAATTATAAACGGTGGTCTCGTCGCTTGAAAGTTCGTCGGCCATCGGTATATTATTTTTCAGTTCGTGCTTGCTTGTGGCTGTTTGGCTGCTCAACTCTTTTTCTTGAAATGGGCAACTTTAAACCCCATGCCATCTAAGGGTTAATCAGCACACTTCACTATCGTTTTCCTTACACTTACTACCCAGAACTTTTTCACTAGCGTTTATTAACAGCATAAATAGTAGACTGCTTTTTGCCGACGAGACACCTTGCTATACCACAATCGGGTCGCGTCGCTGCTTTGGGGAAAGCTTCGCCTTCATTCCACTGATCTGCTATGTGTCTGGAGAATGGAAGATCATTCGCGTGCAGCCAACTGTTGCTGCTGTGTTGCGTTGGAAAAAACACACCTACCCCAGATACGGAGACCCGTTAGTGTCCAGTTTTTTAGAGTCCACTTGATCCAATTAATATTTCCATCAAATTCACAATGATGAACAGCCTGAAGAAACTGCCCATGCGCATGGTAAGAGCCACACCTACAACAAAGACCACACAAAATACCTAGCAGCTAATTAAAAATGATATTTATTTGTATAAATTGCAGCTGGCTAACGCCGCAGCACGTCAGCCAAGTGCTGCCATGTCCTCGGCTAATGGTTTGCCCCCACCTCTGACCTTCCTCACCGAGGATGAGAAGATGATGAAGGAGACTGGTGAGTCCCACCGTGCACATATCAATGGCTCTAGTGGCCGCCCCTGTAAATGTAACTGTAATGGGTTACAGTTCTTTATTTCAGTTTTCCATAAATTTCGTTAGACGAATTTTAGGAAATTTTTTATTGTTTCGATATTTGGTGCCGCTTGTTACGTAACTCTCCAAGCATCGCCAATGGATTCTGTTTTTTTCAATTATTATTGTTAAATTGGAGCAGTCTTGCTGCATCTCGGCAGTTCTCATAGTGTTGGTTTTTATTTTTCCCTTTTTGTGCTTTTTTTTTTTTTTTTGCTGATAAAGCTGTTTAGTTAGGGTGTCGGTCCGGACTCACTGCCAGATAAGCACAGTTCCCTTTTTTAATAGCGTACACAAAATATCATTTAATATCAGCTTATGTGTTTTGCAGCATTTTCATTATGATATTTTGTATTTCATTTAATTTTTTGAGTATTTTCTCAATTCTACTGCTCTATTCCTTCTCTTCCCATATTTCTCAGTCACTTTCCATATAGGCCACTTTTTATTGGATTCAATTGAACCAATAATTAAATTTATTTATTTTGAAAAGCCCCTAAATATTATGTAATTTCTGATACTTAAAAACAGGCCAAGACATTCCGCTGAATAATGTGATTCCTTTCTGAAAATGATACATTCCAAAGAATAATCTAAATCAATTCTTGAAAGCGATCTCGCATCTAAAAAGGACATCTGTCGGTCAGGTTAGGACACTTTTAAAGCTTTTAAATTCTTTTAAAAAGGTGGACAAACTTGCACCCTCCCCGTCTCTCAGACACACGCGGCCTATGTATAGGTTTTTGTCGCTTCAGTTCCAGCTTTAGCTGCCGACTCTGTCTAGCAGTCAGTGGCGCTGTTCGCTGAGGGGGAGCACAGAGAGTGTTCTTCTTTCCGTCCACAATGCGAGTATTTTCTTTCACGGAAACGCGTGTTCGAATCGTGGGTGGGTTTAAACTTTTCTTAATCATTCTTTATCTTTTTCTCCCACTCCTTGTGCACAAATTTCCTATCATCCTTTTTCACGAGTCAGTCAGCTGTTCGGTTCTGGTTTAATGTCAACCAAATAGCGTTACACTTGTGATAGATCAATAAATGCGACTTGCCACTCCCCCGCCCAACTGCAGTCACTGTTCTAGTGTCTGCGCCGGGCAATGGGTGTGTGTGGCGTGTCGGCGCACTCCCCTAGAGAGTTGAGTCAGTTGAAGGTGGCGCTCCTCGGAAGTCATCTCCATCCACCTGATTCTTAGTTGGGGAGCAGACACTTCTTTGCATATTTTACCTAAAATATATTCTTGTTTGGCTTATCAATCATTCAATTAATCTCAATCCATACTGTTATACCTGTGTATGTGTATTTGTATTTATATGAGTGTGTATGTATATGATGGTCTGATGATTGCGTAATCTGAGCTGCATGAAAAAAGGTGGACAAATGCATGACTTCGAACTGGTTTTCTCAACAAACAGACATATTACGTACAGTAGGTACAGATATTTTTACATACTCGTACATAGGCAAATAGATCTCAGTTCATATTTGTCTTCCTTGCTGAAAATCAAATCAATTGGTCAAATAAGCAATAGAAACATGGGTTGCTTGTCGTCTTCTCCGAAAAGGTAGTACAGTCTCCAAAAAAGCATACCATGAAGAAATAAAACAATAGAAATGTAGGATTCAAAAAAGCTTAGGAGGTAGTGTAGTTTCATGTTAGATAAGACTCCCTTGAATGCAGGGGCCCTAGGGCCCTAAGGGCCACGTCACAGCTGTTTAATAATTTTGAATTTCGCCAGCAGCACATATGGTCCGAGCAACTAAATAAATATATTATTTAAATTAACTATTGAAAAGTTTCGCATGATAAGTAAAATATGACTGCCAAATGGTCTGACCGCAGAAAAAGGAACAGGTATTAGAGGGTATGGCTGTGAGAACATTGGTAGGTGTGTGCCAGTTGTTGGCGTTTCTAACAGCAGGAAAAAGTGTAATGCTTAAAAAGTATCAATAATAAATACGAAGAGAGAAGCACAAGTAGAGACCAAAATATTCCGATATGGGGAGAGTAAAATTGTGAGAGCAGGTGAGAGCCGCACGCGATCCGAGAACACAAAGAGAATCTGCTGATAAAAAAGACACACGCACTACCCACACATCCATCTATGCATCTATGTGTATACATATATGTATGTACATAAAAAAAAAAAATATATATACCTAACCTTATACAAACAGCAAAACAGGCCCCTCTGTGAAAAGATGAAGAAACCTCAGACCAGTTTTATGAGTTTAATGTGTTTTTTTTTTTCAAAGAAAAAACGTGCAGTTGAAAGTTCTCGAAAGCTTTATGAAAAGCTTTATAGCGATTTAACAAATAAAATTAGAGCTTACATCAAACATATTTATTTTCTTAAATGCGAGTTTTATTTAAACAAATTTCAATTTATTGAATTTTAATTTCAGTTGCTAAGTTGGCCCAGGATCAAATCCTGCCTCTGGTCAAAAAAATGGACCACGAGCACAAATTCGATCCCTCGGTAGTCAAGGCCGTCTTCGACAATGGTCTGATGGGCATTGAAATCGACACGGAGCTTGGCGGCAGCGGCTGCAACTTCATGACTAACATTATCGTTGTCGAGGAACTTTCGAAGATCGATCCCGCCGTAGCAGCCTTCGTGGACATCCACAACACCCTAGTCAACTCGCTGATGATTAAGTTTGGCAATGCCGAACAGAAGGCGAAATATCTGCCGAAATTGGCACAGGAATATGCTGGCAGCTTTGCCCTCACCGAGCCCGGAGCAGGCTCCGACGCCTTCTCTTTAAAAACTGTTGCCAAGAAGGATGGCTCTCACTATGTGATCAACGGCACCAAGATGTGGATATCCAACTCAGATGTGGCTGGAGTCTTCTTGGTCTTTGCCAATGCCAAGCCAGAGGATGTAAGTGCTAATTTATAATTATAATCGTCTTGATCTTTGGTCTTCAACTAAATGATCGAAATACTAACTAATTTATAGAATATTTCCCTTCATTAACCGATCGCTTCACAGATTTCACATTCAATATTTCAAGTACTACTTATGAGCACTTATCGGAGGCACAGCTTATCTCCTAAGACCAAATATGATCTAATCGAAGATCAAGTAATCAGAACATTGAAGATTATCTTACTGATCAGCGTTCGCTGTCTTTCTACTCCAGGGCTATCGAGGCATTACTACCTTCATTGTGGATCGCGAGACGCCGGGACTGATCGTGAACAAACCCGAGGATAAGCTGGGCATCCGTGCCTCAGGAACCTGCATGCTCACCTTCGACAATGTGCGCGTACCCGAGGAGAACATCCTGGGTACCTTTGGTCATGGTTATAAGTATGCTGCCGGCTTCCTGAACGAGGGTCGCATCGGCATTGGCGCTCAGATGGTGGGCCTGGCGCAGGGCACCTTCGATGCCACCATTCCGTATCTGCTCGAGCGCAAGCAGTTCGGCGAATCCATCTACAACTTCCAGTCCATGCAGCACCAGATCGCCACCATTGCCACTGAGATCGAAGCGGCTCGCCTGATGACCTATAATGCGGCTCGCCTGCAGGAGCAGGGTGTGCCCTTCCTCAAGGAGGCGGCCATGGCAAAGTTCTATGCTTCGGAGGTCGCCCAGCGTGCGGCCATCAAGTGCATTGACTGGATGGGCGGTGTGGGCTTCACCCGCGACTTCCCCCAGGAGAAATTCTACCGCGATGTGAAGATCGGCGCCATCTACGAGGGCACCTCCAACATGCAGCTGAGCACCATTGCCAAGTGCGTCAAAAAGGAGTATTCGGGCTAAGATAAATTGTCGCCCCCATACACAAGATGAGATATCGTACGTCAGATACTTCAAGTGCATTTACATATGTGAAGGAACTGCTGGAACCCTCATCGGTTATAGGTTCTTTCCATGTTACCATAGCATTTACTACATAGTTTTCCTGTTATATTGTATCAAATACAACTAAATATACTCGTATATCTAAAAATATATGTTCAAAACCATTCTCTTCTAATGCGTATTTCCGTCTGTTGTGGTGAATGCTGCCAGCAGGATATTGATCACAGTAATCATGAAAACTCCCATTACCAGTAGCTCATTGGTCCTCGCATAGCGACTATGCTGACATCTTTTGATACGTCTCTATGGGGTGGTATTATTTGGCATAACTGCTTATGTTAGTGGCAGACATTAACTTACTTTAAAGATCAGCATAAGGCCTACGAGCAGCTGCAGACTCAGCGAGAGTATTACCAGAATCAGGCTGTATATGTAGGTCGAAGCCTTGTCGTTGTAAGTGATTAGGAAACGCAGCTGATTTGCATTCGCGGACAGAAGAGCTATATCCATGAGGCCTTATTTGGGGGAGTGAACACAGTTAAGTGAATATATTTTGTGGATAATTACTTTAATTACCTTCAGCCACATTTTTATTTGTGGCATAGCTATTCCCGCCCGAGAGATCGCTGCCTGATTTCCTCGGATTTACTTGAGCTGCTTCCACCTGATTCACATATTTCGGATCAACTAAGTTCTCTGCCTTCTCCAAATCCCTGACTGAGCTACAGCACTGTCCGCTTGCAGTGCTTGAGAAACTTTCCTCCGAACTGGGCGATTCCTGCAGAGATAGTTCCACATCTTTTTTGTCCATACTGGGACCGCCGTTTAGTTCCAATGCTAATCCAATATTAAATATTCGAGTCTTCTGCGTAAAGCTTTTGGTTACCAGTAGTAAACATTGAAACTTTTGAGGTCTCTGCGGTCTCTGATAAAAGAAAAGGGAATGACACTGACCCTGTTGGACAACCAGCTGTCGGCGAAATTTAGAGCACAACAACAGCAACAGACCCCATAAGCCGAAAAGTATCTCATGATTTGGGACAACCATTTAAGTATGCAACACGATATTAATTTATGGTGGAAATGGAAGTGTGAATAAGAATCTGAATGGGATCAGTGTCCAAACAAACTCTTGCGTTATCTTTTCTTATATTCCTCGTAATGAAAAGTCATTAAAACGCCACCATAATGGCCACCAAGGACCTGAATAAACAAGTCCCACGCAAACTAAAGTGTTTATAGGATACGAGAGTACAGTTTTCTCTAAGTCATTCTAAATTTATAGGTTCGATTTAATAGGGTTCGGGTAAATCGGGTGAGGTTAGCCTTTAAGTCCCAATTATGGATTGTGTGAGAAACTTTTGAAATGCACAGGCAGCTGTCGCAATGGACAGAAGTATGGAGGACTTTTATTACTTTGTTATGTGGGCTGTTATGAGAGTATTATCTATTTGACTTTGTACCAACTGCAATTTCTGCAAACTTAGATAGGAAATCAAAAGTAATTTTTTGTTTGTAAATATACCAAATAAAATAATTTTGTTTGATAACATTAGCACCTCCCCTCGCTGTTCGTGTCGCATTGCAGGACCTAAACGAAACAAGTGCGTCACGCGAGGCAAACAACTGTTCAGGACTCCGCTGTTCCAGTTTTTGTTTTTGTGGCTCTCTCTTGTCTCACCCGCCAGACGTAATGGTTACGCTCCCACGTGCCGGCTTAGGTCTGCCGTGCCTGACACTGTAGCTGGTGCTCTCTTTGGTGCTCAAAGTGTATGAATGTCGGGTGAGGTATTATTATTATTATTCCCCCACGCTCTCACGGTTTGTGTGGTGTGTGAGTGCAAATGGTATAAATGCCTCACCTTTTATGTACATGTTTATACACTCTCGGCTGCCTCCCTCTTGCGGCTTCATTCATGCCGCAGCGGCAATAGTAGTGTTTTATAAAGATAACGTTGCACGCATGCTCAAAACGCAAGTTACAAACAGGCTTTGTTTGCCTCCGTTGGTCTTGGTCTGGTCTGGCCTGGTCTGGGGTCTAGCCTGGGGTCTGGCTCAGTTCTGTTCCGTCGGCCGAAGCGTTTAGCAGTAATTTTTTCAGTTCGGCATTTGGTATTCGCGTTCTTGGTTCTAAGACTTTCTCTCTTCTCCCTCTCGACCGTTCTGGCGTTCTCGCTCAACCCGGCTAAAAACAACACAACTGTGAACGCCGAAACGTAAACTTTTCATTGATTTTCCCTCAGTGCTAATTTCAGTTTTGTGGATATATGTATATTTAATACCTAAATATAAATACAACCCAACAAATGTGTTTCCTCTACGAATAGTCCAGATTACGAGGTAAGTTTCTGCTCACTGAAATGCCCACTTTTCCGTAACCCGTAACGTAGCCGTATCCGGATCCCTACCCCGTACTCTGACAAACTGCCAAAAAATCAATGACCAAAAATTGCATGTGCGTCCGCCGTGACCTCCCTCAGCAGAGCCGCCTAAAAAGCCGCCATTGCTTCTCTTACTCACTCACCTTCTCTGTTTTTACTTCTGTGTGTCTGTTTCTTTCTGAACTGAACCTGATTTGACCCGGCAAAAGACTGTCTATAAAATCAATAACAAGACCTACATAAACCTACATTACAGACTATATTGCATAACCACCACACTACTGACAGTAAGACGAATCTAAATCTTCCTTTCGGTTCAGACATTTTTGGGTCATCGCCCGGCCGGGTCTGCATTGGCCAAAGTATGCGTGTAATCGTCTTAGGAACACTGTTGTCTGGGGTGCAAAGTTTCACTCCACAACTGATAAAGGTTTCTGCACTGCTGCTGTTTCAGTATTATCAGCCAGCTATTCAGTCAGTCGCTTTGGGGATGCGCTTCGTCTGCCTCTGCCACATACGGTATGTGGGTGGAGTGATTCGAGTCAGACAGTTTCCGCACCAGTACCGGAATCCCATTAATGCAAGAGAGTTTTCCCAGTAGCCTAGAATATTTTCAACACTCGCATTTGTTTTCCTCAATTTGAATTTATCATTGAGCGATTGAACGCGATTATACAATAATAATTGAGTCATTTGTTGTACATGCATTTCAAAACCAGTTTACAGGTACTTGCATTTAGAATTGGGAAGTTCAGAAAATGATTATTCAAAATATAGTTGATAAACTAGTTTTCCTCCATTAAACCTTAGAATGCAGTTGATATTGGCTAATACATAAGGTCAAACATATGTATATTAGTAATTATAATCAGGAAATAACATTTGAAATGTAGTTTCAAGCTTTACTACGAATCCAAGAAATATAAAACAAAAACTGATTTTACATGAATGTCTCTTAAGGTCTCTTTATTATCTTATCTTCTATTTTCTGATTAACCCTTATCATATAATTTGTTATATTTTTGTGGTACATCTTTATAAATTCGCTTATAGAAAAGGGTATTCAAGCCTCATCGTTGCTAACTTTAATCGTTCTTGGTTTTATTGCTTGCATTTTTTGTTTTGCCACAGCCTGATAAGATGAGAGTCATCTTTCAAAACATTACAGATAAAGACGCAATGGTTCGGCCGACGTATATGTACAAACATTTGCACGTACATATATTGCCAGTGTATGCATATTATACTCGTATATAAGAAGTATTTGCACTCGTTTAGTAGTGTGTATGTGTTCGACAATTGATCAGTGGACTTTGACAAATGATTTTTGTTGTATGTACATACATACATATGTATGTAGAAATTACTTGTAGTTCCCATATCTCGAGAACCAAATCTTTACTCTTCAGAGCTGATGTACCCATAACCTATTTGCATAATCATCCTCAACTGAACGCATTTGAATTGTTGCCACTTGACTGGGCCAATGGCAATTATCTCTATGTGAAATTATACGTACGTGTATTTTCATATGGATAAACCTCTAATTAGGCAGAAAATGGATTGGACTTTATGACTTGGCCTCTGGTTTGGCTTGATTGCATTCTGTTAGGTTGGAATTTTCAAATTCCGAATTCCGAGCCCACCAAAACTAAACTTGCCTATACAACTTTTTGTAATAATTCCACTTACGACTGATGCATGCACTTTTTTTATTGATTATATTTCAGGCTATCTATTGTGGGCAATCATTAAGCTAAACACGTAACATTCACTCAGGTAGCTAATAATAGTAAAAATAAAGACAAAAATCAAAACTAAAACCAAAGCATCAGAAATAACAACGAAAGCAGAAACAAAAAACAATGACGCCAGAGAAATCGGTTATAGCCTATATCAATCATTTGATAGTCAGCAACTTTTCATACTTCTGTAAGTATTATTGATAATATAAAAATAAGCATAATAATTCAATTTCGAATTGAGTTACTAAAACTAAATGAGAGGATTTACTCATTCAGAATATTTTGTATTGGTAAGCTTTCGAAAGAAGAATTGAGAAGTGGAATGGAAGAGAGTCAACCCTCCAATGAAGGACCAATGGCTATGGAAAACTCCCTCGGACCATGTCCCGATGTATACCAGTAAATAAAGCAAATTAAGGAGATTATTAATTTCATTTAATTAAATTTCTAAATATAATTTATACTGGGGAAGCTCTATTAACTGGTGCAATCTGTCTTTCACAGGGGACGAAATCGATGGATATCTGTATTATTTAGGCGGAACTCTGGGCACACTCACTCTCAGTAGTTTGGCGGCCAGTATTGCGTATTATTTTGCAACACGACCAGTACCGGAACAACCATTAGTGCCTCTGGAACACCAATCTCCATTGTTAGAGGTAAGACAGAAGTGATTTCGATCGCTTAGCCATCCCGTACCATACCATCCCATCAATTACATCATCGATTGCCCGATTACGAATTGTTTGTCTTGGATTCGCTGTATTTTCTCTGCACAGTGGCTGTTGTAGTTGTTGCCTTGTTTTATTTGAGGTGGAGCAAGCGAATCCAATGATGGCATGGCCAAGAAAAGCCTTTGATGTGCCAGCAGCAACCATGTGCACATGTCCACAATCACGTTGTGTGCGATTCCGATTTTGATTTCGATTTGGATTCACATGGCGATTCTGTTTCGTTGTTGTCGTCACATGATTTTCACACTCTTTCTTTACCATTCTTTCACCAT